CTAATATAATAAACGTACAAAATGATATGTATTGTGCATAAATGTTAAATTAAATTTTTACTAAACATGTTTCCATGTCATATGCTTTGATCAATTTTGCATAAAATATAAAAACTAATGCAAAAGTTATTTATTTCAATTTATTTGAAGTTTTTGAGTTTTATTATTTGTATAAATAGTAGAATATGCGATAAATTAAATAAATTTTAGATTTATATAAATTTGTTGGACGTAACAAACAATAATATATGTTTTCTAATAATAAAATGTAAAAATATTTGTAAGTGTAGTTTTTTTTTTGTTCAACAAAGATATTTCATTCCATACTCAAAGAGTTTCATCATACATAGTTTTCACTGCCCTCTTAGCAAGAGAATCCGCTAATACATTGTTTGTTCTAAGCACATGACGAAATTCTATAAGCGGAAACAGAGGAACATAAGTTTTGATGTCTTGGAGAATTCCAGAAATCCCTTTGATCGGATGGGGAGAGGCAATTGCGTTTATAAGAACCGGAGAGTATGAATGCATAATGATCCTCGAAATACCTCTCTCCATTGCCTTTTCTATAGCCAATCTCATTGCAAGAGTTTCAGCCATTAAGGGCGAATTAACGAATTATTCTGCTTGAGAGCCTTTATCGAGTAGTGTGGTGTTGGCGTTCGATGCCTCGCTGTGACCTAGCCCAACTATTTGGTTCTCTTCGTGCCATGACCCGTCTGTGTGTCCAATAACGATGTCGTCCGGAATATGTCGAGGTGACAAGCTGCCTCTAAGGGCCACATTAACGCCTCTTTCTTTGGTTTGTGCCATTTGCCATTCACGAGCATCACTCACTGCCTTGTTCACTGTCTCTTGATCAGTCGGTGCTCTGTTTTCAAAAATTGCTCTGTTTCTTGATGACCAATAAATAATATTGTTACAAATATAATAATAAAAAACTTTTTTAATATATCAATTTTTTTTTAAAATAGATGATATAGTAAGTCTAAATATTACATTTAGTTAAACGTAACTCTGTAAAATATATATTTATGGATTTATGTTATAAAATTNATAAAAAAAATATAGAGATTTCCACCATAGTATATAGTTTTAATTAAAATATGTTCATTAGTTAATTTAAATGACATATTTTTTCAAACCCTCATTGAATAATACATATGATTTTTTCACCAAATGTCTATTTAATTAATATACAGAGGATTAGTGGTATTTTAAAGAAAATTTTAAAATGATGACATTTTTGAAAAATGACATTTCTAAAAAATTATCTGCATTTAGTTTAAGTATCATGCAAATTAATTTTTGTTAGATAAAATATATTCATCAATATATTATCTATACTGGAGATATATCTTTGTTATTTTTAATTTCTCCCGTATATAAAAAAATCATAAATTTTTTTTTAAATATTCTAATCCCGTATTTAACGCATGTCAAAAAATCTAATAGTCATTAAAAAAAATAAAGATATTCTCACATATACTTTATATTTATTAAATAAAAAATTTCATATTAATTACCACATATTCCTTGCTTTCATATTTTTTTAATAGTTATATATTGTATATGTGATATAAATTTAGTCTAATTATTTACACAATAATGTTATTAAGAAAATTTAATAGTTTTCTTTAAAAGTTCTTTAAAACCCTCTTTGGATGACAATTAGAATTTTTACTTAGTGTCTCTTCTATTAATATATAGAGGATTAACGAGGAGCATGAGAACACATAAAACTATAAACAAAGTAGCAGACTTCATGAATCAAAAATGTACTAATAAATACTTGTTTATGTTTAATTGGGGAACGAAACTTGTTGTTTTTCTTAAACTCGTAACAACAATATACTTTTTTTTTTCTTCTGAAATCTAAAATTGTGAGATCCTCCTCCTCCTTTCTTCTTAAATCTAAAATCGTGAATCGTGAATCTCTGATAAACTCCTCACCGCCATCCAAATTGAGTCGTCGCTGGAGATCGACATAGTTAACTATGTTCAAAAATATGTGTAATATGTAACAACGTTTATGAATGTAGTTAACTATATACGATATTTTTTCACTATAATAGGTAACTATGTCTCTCGTAATAGTTTACTATGTTCTTTTTCATTATTCATACTATAATAGATAACTATATTTCTAATAATAGTTGACTATGTATATTATTCTTTTTTATTATACAAAATAAAATAGTTGACTATGTTTATTTAAATAAATAATTATTACAAATAATAACATATTTATGTAGTCAACTATGTTCTGAAATCGGTATAGTAGACAAATTATTCTCTGAACTAATTAACTATTATGCGACTAACTATTATTTTTTAATTATGCCCTATATAGTTCACTATCACTATGTAAAATAGCTTACATGAATAATTGAATATATATACATTTGAATAGTTGACTATATACATTCTTATTTTGTTACGAATTTGGAAGGATATTTCTCTGTCCAACCTGTTTCATGGAGTTATGATATATTTTTAGTGATTTTAGCGATTAATGGTAAATATTTTTGACTAATTTTTACAGATTTTTCTTCTTAATTTTCGCAGGGGTAATTTTGTCTATTTTTTCCTTCTCTCTCCTACATACCTAAATTTCATTATGCAGAAGTTAGTTACCTAATTATGCATCCCAAAACAAATACTCCTTTCGTTCCTAGAAGATAAAAG